GGGGCTTCCCATTACCCAGACCCAGAACTATGCTGAACTGATCAGTGGATTAATCTAATTATCACACACCCTAGCCCCAGTCACCTTCAAAGCCTCACCTACGAGCACATGAAGCTCATAGGGGGGTACATCTAGAGATAAGTCATTACAAGTGATATCAACTTATAGCAGTGAAATTCTTATGGCAATAATAATGGGCTCAATAGTCCTACCATTTGTTGAGAATCAACCATGTGCCAAACATCTTCTCCTTTAACCTCCAAGACCATTCTACCCTCATTTATAGTGAGGAGCTATAAACTCAGAAAGGTGAATTAATATCCTTAATGCACACTGCCCAAGGTCACAGAGTTGAAAAGTGGTGGTGTTCTAGCTGACACCACAACTGAGGCTCTTTCCTCTAGCATATATTCCTATTGCAAAGCAGGTTCTGCTATTACATGATAGCTCTTAATGTTCTTCCCTGGGCTGAACAACACTTTGATCTATACTCTAATTCTTGCAGTGGAGGTTATTTCTATCTTAGGCATCCTTCAAAAGATCAGACTCTGCCTTGGTTCATTCACCAAAAATTTCAAGTTGAACCAAGTACAGTGACTCATACTTGCAGTCAGAGCTACTTGAGAGACTGAGGTAGGTGGACTGCTAGAGCCCAGGAATTTGAGGCCAGCCTAGGCAACACAGCAAAATCCTGTCTAAATAAATAAATAAATAAATAAATAAATAAATAAATAAATAAGTAATTTAAAATACCATAATGTGGCCAGGTATGGTGGCACATGCCTGTAATCCCAGCATTTGGACGCTGAAACAGGAGGATCACTGTAAGTTTGAGCAAGGCCAGCTTGGGCTACAAACTGAGTTCTAGGCTAGCCTGAACTGCATAGTGAAATGCTATCTCTAAAAAACAAAGAAAAAAAAACAAAAACAAATGCTGGTGGAACTACTGGGAAAAAGAAACCCTTCTCTACTGTTGGTAGAAGTGTAGACTGGTGCAACCATTGTGAAAATCAGTGTGGAGATTCCTCAAAAAACTAAAACTAGGAGTCAGAGACCTAGCTTAGCAGCACAAGCACCTGCCTGGCAAGTACAAGGTCCTGAGTTCGATTCCCAGTACAAAAGAAAAAAAGTGAAATTAGAGAGTCCATTTGATCCAGCTATTCTCCTTCTTGGTGTCTTCCCAAAGGAATTAAAAGCATTATACTGCTGGTGTGGTGGCACACGCCTGCAATCCCAGCACTTGGGAGGCTGAGGCAGGAGGATTGTTTTGAGTTCAAGATCAGCCTGGGCTACAAAGTAAGCTCAAGGCCAGCCTGAACTGCATAGCGAGACCCTGTCTCAAAAAGACAAAAAAAAAAAGCATTATAGCAATATATTGCACACCCATGTTTATAGCGGCATACTTTATAATAGCTAAATCTGGGAAACAGCCCAAATGCCCATCAACCAATGAATTGATAAAGATGTGGGGGTTTTTTATACAATGAAGTACTACTCCACCATAAAGAAAGATAATCTTGAGACATTTCTAGCTAAAGAGATGCACCTTGAGACCATATTCTTGAGTGAAATACATCAGTCATACATGTGTAAATATTGCCTTGTTTCTCTGGTATGAGAAACTGAAAGTGTAAATAAGGACCAAAATGTATAGTAGATATTGGGGAAAGGGAAGAAAGTGTTCAAATGAGAAGAACAAAGGAGTGAGGAGGGGAAAGGAAAGAAAGGACAAGGATAAAAGGAAAAAAATGGAAACAAAGCTTTTGTAAATAGGAGGTGAAAAGAGATTGAAGGGAGGGAAAGGAAGAGGGAAAAACAGAAGCAAGGTATACCATATACATGTAAAAATTCCCTATGATGAATGTTATTATTATGTATATCTAAAATGTACCAATAAAATTTTTTAAACACACACACACAAAAGAAAAACCAAAACAGTGGTGGCAAATGCCTATAATCCTAGCACTTGAAAGGCTAGGAGAATCACAAGGTCCAGGCTAGACTGGATACACAGTGAACTCAAATCCAGCCTAGATTAAATAGTGAGACCGTATCTCAAAAAACCAAACCAATAGCCAGGCATGGTGGTGCACACCTGCAATCCCAGCACTCAGGAGGCTGAGGCAGGAGGATCACTGTGAATTCAAGGCCAGCCTGGGCTACAAAGTGAGTTCAAGACCAGCCTGAACTGCATAGTAAGATCCTGTCTCAAAAAGACAAACAAACAAAAACTCCAAGACCTTCAAATTCTCTTCACTGGCCTCAATCAGTGCCTACCATTACGTTTCTCACTCACTGGGTAAACAGCAGCCCTCTGTTTGTAGTGATTCACATGCAATTTAAATACCTCTCTGGTGCAGAGCTGAAACTTTTTTTTTTTTGTCTTTTTGAGACAGGGTCTCACTATGCAGTTCAGGCTGGCCTTGAGCTCACTTTGTAGTCCAGGCTGATCTTGAACTCCCAACGATCCTCCTGCCTCAGCTCCCAAATGCTGGGTTACAGGCACGTGCCACCACTTCATAGTTTGAATCTACAGTATTTCCCCACTCTTGTGTGACAGAATAAATTCAATTATTTTTTACAGCAGCCCTTCAAGTATTTGAAAGCAATGATGATTACCTCCAGGTTTTCTTTTCCTAAGCTCCTTCAAAAAATTGCTTTTGTTTCCAGTTTTTCCTTTGGTTGTACTCTTCTGAACATGTTTATGTTGACTATCAAAGTCTGTCTTTACATGGGTCCATGTGGCAGTTAGGAACACATGTTTTTATTTACTAGATTTGAGTTTCCTTATATTGTGATCTCCTAATATTGTGATCAAAGGAAATCACACAAATGATAATAGTTTATTAACCACAAAACATCAATATTCTTATTACTTGCATCATCATTAACACCTTACAAAGTACTCACACATACTTTATTATCCACTACAATGTGTTCAAAAATTCTATGTGCAGCAGCAGCATTTCCACAGATTGGAAACTGAAGCACAGAGCAGTTAAATGACCTGTCCAACATTACATAGCTAGCAAGAGACAGAACCCAGGTCTAAGAAAAATCTCCTGGCTTTCCTAATAAATGTAAAGCATCAGCTAACATTTCAAAACAGGATGAGGCAAGGATAGTCACAAGACTGTAGCCAGGTGCAGTGGCATGTGCCTGTAATCCCAGCATTAGGGAGGCTGAGGCAGGAGGAGCAGGATGAGTTCAAGACCAGACTGCACTACATAGTGAGTTCAAGGCCAGCGTAAACTACATAGTGAGACCCTGTCTTAGAAAAAAAAGAAAGAAAGAAAAAGATAATATTAGCTAGGAATTTAGAAAATAAACGGCCACTTGAGCCAGAGTGGTCAGAAAAGTTTTATGTGGAAAAAATGAGACCTGAGCTGAGCCCTGATGGATGGAGAATTCTGACAGGTGGTGAGAAGGGGAGGGCACTCCAAGTGAGAAGGTACCATAAGATCAAGCATCAGGAATTCAGCATTTGAAAAATAAGGAAGATACTACCTCTCCAAAGCAGGAGGGCAGAGTGGAGGAGTAAAATAAGTAACAAAGGAGTCTGCAAGGAAACAATCAGACTTGGAGAGGCCCTTGTATGGTTAAGATGAAGGCTCTAACGCAGATTTCCATGGGAGCTTCTATAGTTATAGAGTGGGTGGAAATGATATTCCTTGAAAAATGACCCGTTTCCTCAGAAATAAGACTTGTAGAGCAAGAGAGTATTCATCAATGTGACCATCTTTAAGTATAGAATTTATAAACTTTCTGATTTGTTTTCTCTTTTCTTTCTTTCTTTTTTTGTATCGGACATCGAACTCAGAAGCTTGTGCTTGCCAGGCAGGGGCTTGTGCTGCTGAACTAGATCCCCAGCCCTTCTCTTTTCTTTATACCAGATCTGGCCAAATTCTCATAAATTGGCTAAGGGGAACAAGTGGGTTGTTTCATACAGGATGAAGTGAGGTGTGATCCCTTAGAGAAACTCAAATCTAGAGACACTCAGGTAGCCCTAAGATAAGAACAGGTAGATTCAGGAATAGCAAAGACCATGCTAACTTCTACATTTCAGATATAGTCTCTATGATTAATGGCTAAAATGAAATTTTAATATACAGTACATTGTTACCCAGGTGTAGTGGTGCTCTGGGAGGCAGAAAGGTGAGAAGTTCGAGGTGAGCCTGGCAATTTAGACTTAGTGAGACCCTCCTTCAAAATTTAGATAAATTTAAAAGGACTAGAAATGGTGCTTTGTGCAAAGGCCCCGGGTTGAATCCTCAGTATCACAATAATATTTTAAAAATTGCTAAAAGTCAATAAGCAACAGGATAAAACTGAAAGATTCCACGAAGTCTGTCAAAGGAACCGGCGATTCCAGCCAAGGAATGCATTTAAGAACTGTATGTATGTAGTTCTGGTGGTTCTGATAATAGCTCAAGGTTTTGACAGTAAAAGTGTAAGTTTACCACTATCCTCTTTTATCACCAGGTGGTTTCATGGCCCAAGCAGATTACAAAGTTAAAATTCTAAATGATTAAAAACATTGTGGTGGGGACATTCAAAAATAAAAAGAGGAGCTGGTGATGTGTAGCTCAGCAGCACAGCACCTGCCTAGTTGCAAAAGGTCCTGAGTTCGATTCCCAGTACCAAAAAAAAGAAAAGGAATAAATGATTAAACACACAACATAAAATGACCTGTCCAAAGTCAGACAATTTAGAAAGACAGTATCTTAGCGTCGCGACTTCCTGTGTAAGGCTCTTCCCTTCCCAGGCACTGGGCGCTCGGAGTGAGCAGTACAGGGGCGTGGCTCGGGTACGAGCCTCTTTGCCCAGGCCCGAGCCTCTTCGCCCAGGCGGAGGAAGCAGAGCAGCCTTTTCGCTTGGGGGCGCCGCAGGGACTTCTGGGAAGGTATGGTTCTCCCCAGGGTTGCATTCCCGGATGTCGGTGCGCCGTCACCTCCATCGTGTTTTCCCTAGCGCCCCAACACGTATGGAATCTACGTTACCTTTCCCAGCGTTCCGCTCATCTTTTGTCGCTGTAGTCTCTAGCTGTGAAAACCGAAGATCCGCTCCAGCACCTGCGATCCACGGGCGTCTGAAAACGCTGACGGAACGGCCTTGGTCAGGTCCGGTAACAATATACGACCGAGATTCATTCCAGTGCTGCAGCACTTTGGTTCCGGCAGCGTTTGAGACTCCACATCTGGAAAGACGACCCCCCCACACACACACACACACACACACACACACTCCGTTCTCACTACATCTCAGGTGTCACCTTCAGCGTGAGGCAGGAGAAGGATCATAAATTCGAGCCCAACTCGGGCAATTTAGCAACTTAGCGAGACCCAGTCTCAAAATAAATAAAACTGGTTAGGGGTGTGGCTCGGTGAAAGGCCCCGAATTTATAAATAAGTAGGTGCAAAGTTCATTGACGTTTCTATGCTACCATTGTGCTTTACACACAAATTTGGTATCTCACTTACTAAACTATGAATTATTTGTTACTATCCCTTCCTTATGTTCTTCAGAGACTCCAATTCTGATTAATTTATCTAGCACAGGACATTGGAATCTGACTTTCAACCTCGATTTTAGAACTGATTGACCCTCTATGAACCTTTTTTGACATTAAATTGCCTCATAGTAACTGAAAATAACTATCTTGTATTATGAGAGATAGTAACATGAGAATATAAATAATTCATGTGTAGTTTAGTAGGTGAGATACCAGATTTGTGTGTAAAGCCCTGTGATAATACAGATGGCAGTTCTGCTTGGAAAATGGACAAGTTTTACCTCCTTTACTGGTTACTGCTCAATAAAAACTACTGGGATTTTAGAAGTGAATTTTTTCCCCTTCCCCGGCCCTCCCTAGAAGTAAATTTTTAAATTGGATTAAAAACACCTCTGTCAAAGTGTAGGCCACGTGAAGTCTTTTTAAATGTATGGGTTCATTTAATGCCCTCAATAGCCCTGTGAGGCTGAGGATGATTATAGCTATTTCACAAACAATAAACAGGCAGAAAGATGGGACCAAGTAAACATGTTATTATGTAAATGATAAGCTGTCTCATTTCAGTGCTTGTGCTCCTGTTCCATAGAATTGTGACTATAAGTCTGAAAAGGGGCAGGTCAAAGAGTTCTTTCCTTGTAAATACAATCTGGTAAGATACAGTTCCATCTTTTGTTGTTTATATACACTGGGGAGTAGGGAAGGGAAAAGAACAAAGAAAAAGGAAGGGGACAGTTAGTTCTATGAATACAGATGAAAGGATCCTAAGACAATTGAATATTTTAAAAGATCTGGAATCTAGAATCCAAAAGGGAGGTGAGGGGAATCTGGCTACTACATCTGTTGCCCCATGAATCGCCAGGGTTCATTCTTCTGATCTGGCTGGCTAGGCAAATGTCCCTTCCTCCCTCACTGCTCCGTGTGTGTCGCTCCTGAAGCTTCATGCTCAGTCGAAGAGGACGACCACTCCTGAGAGAAGGACTGTTTTCTCAGTCAAGGATATACGAGTAGCTGCATTCCCCAGCTAGAACCTCCAAACAAGCTCCCAAAAAGGAGGTGAAATCAGCATCTATGATTGTAAAAACACTTTAGCAATACTGATAAATGTGTTGAAGTGAATATTGTTTCCAAATTGTGCTGCTAATGTCATATGCTGTGGAGGCATATGAACTTACTGAGCTTCCCAGAGGACACTTTCATATAGATATAACCAAGAATTCTTGTATATCAGTTGTCTTAGTTACTTTTATTTTTGCTGAGACAAAACACCTGACGTCCAAAGTTACAGGAGGAAAGCTTTATTTAGCTCACAGTTGTAGAGGGTACAGTTCTTAATCACTTGGCTCCAACACAGGGTAGCATGGCAGACAGGCATCACAGAGAACAGTTCATGATGAACATAAGTTACCAAAGCAAGCAAGTAGGGGACCAGCAACAACCCTCTTTCTGTCCCTTATATCATATTGAGCTACCTGCCTTTAGGGCAGACAGCACTCACACCCTTAATCCTACCATCCTTCATCCAAGCATTGTACCATGAATCAATCCCATCATCACACACTTTAGATCAAGCCACCTATTAAAAGCACTACCTATGATCAAATGAGTCTTTGGGGGGATATAGACACAAGCCATAGCATTCATCACTCTTAGCTACTGACTTATTTTGTATCCAGCCTCTAAAAACCAGGATCTTCTTTGGAGAAACCAAGACAGCTCAACATAGGTCACTTTCCAGGTCCAAAGCTCCTGCCTTTTTATTTCAATAGACTGTGAGCTCCTAATGACAGGATGTATCTCATTTATCTTTGCATCTCTTGCATTTAGTCCAGGACCTGCCCCATGGTAATACACATCTGGTTGAATACTTCCATTCAATACTGATTGAATACTTCCATCTTCTTTTTCCTCTTTCTCCTACCTACAACTCATCTCTTCTATGACTTTTCTTTTTTTTATTTTCATTTTTATTTTTATTTTTATTTTTGGAGACGAGGTCTTACTCAGTTGTTCAGGCTGGTTTTGAACTTACTCTGTAGCCCAGGCTGGCTTCCAACTCATTGCAGTCCTCCCGCCTCAGCCTTCCGAGTGCTGAGATGACAGGCATGTACAGCCATGCCTAGATGTTTTTAAATTTTTATTAGTACATGTTTGCAATACATAATGTCACATTCATCATGGAGAGTTGGTACATGTACATAATATATCTGAATTCATTGCACATCCCCTTCCCCTCCCTTTTTCCCTCCCTCCATCTCCTACTAGACATTTCTTGTCTGCATCTTCATAGATGGCATGGTACAAACATAGAAATGAGAGAACTTACATAAAATATGGTCTCAGGTCCAACCCTACATTTGTGATTTACTCGTTGTGTGGTTTGAACAGGTTTTCTTTTTTCCGGGTGTGGTGGTGCATGCCTGTAATCCCAGCACTCAGGAGGCTGAGGCAGGAGGATTGTTGCGAGTTCGAGGCCAGCATAGGCTACAAAGTGAGCTCAAGACCAGCCTGAACTGCATAGTGAGACCCTGTCTCAAAAAGACCAAAAAAAAAAAAAAAGTTTTTTTTGAAGGGCTTTTAAAAATTAAATAACAAAGAAATGTCATAGAAGAGATGTAGGTAAGAGAAAGAGAAAAAAAAAAAGAAGTATCCAGTCAGTTCACCAGATGTTTATTACCATGGGGAAGGTCCTGTACTAAATGCCAGAGATGCAAAGATGAATGAGGTACATCCTGTCCTTCGAAGCTCACAATCTATTAAAATAAAAGGTAGTGAGTGGTGAATGTTGTAGAGACTTCAAGTTTGGCTAAACTGTAGATATAGAGGAAAAAACTGGTAAGAAAAGAAAATAGAGAGGCAGAAGAGTCAAATTCTTAAATGCCAGGCCAAAGGATTGGGGAAACTTTGATCAACAAGACCAGCGGAGGGGTAAGTACACCCAAGGAATCCAGCTGGAAGATTTACAGTAGTAATTTTAAAAGGAGGACCTAAGTTAAGGTACCAATGGAGATGGAAAGGGATCAAGATGAGAGAAATTAAGGAGGTAGAAAAGGAAGGCTTTGGTGACCAATTAGATGAGAGCAGTAAAGGATGTTCTGAGTTAGCATCTGAGATGGGCTGGGGATGTAGCTCAGTGGCACAAATGCCTGCCTGGCAAGTGCAAGGTCCTGAGTTCGATCCCTGGTACAAAAAAAAAATCTGAGATGGGTACTAAGCATCAGTCTTCAGCTAGGTAGGAGATAAGCTGGTTTCACATTCTCCCAGATGTGTTACCTGGTGCTTATCTTTAACGTCAGGAAACTCCTTTAGCCATCACGTTGGGTGCAAAATAGTTGAGGCTCATCAAGCCCTCTTGAACTATTGGGGAAAGATAGAAGGAAAAGACTAAAACATTTGCCTCTCTCTGCAAAGGACTGCTTGAAGTCAGTCCTTGAGACCTAAATTCCAGATGGTTTTGCCCTTTGTTATGAGGAAATATTAGAGGAAAAGTAGCTATGATAGTAGAGCTAAGGAAGAGGAAACCAAATAGTAATATTTTCTTTTCCAGCAAGATTTTATTGGTACATTTTAGATATACATAATGATCACATTCATCATACAGAAGCCAAATTGTGATTTATGATTATTTCACTTTTAAAATGCTTGGGCAGCTGAGTGTGGAAGTGGACACCTGTAACCCCAGAACTTGAGAGGCAGAGGCAGCAGGAGCACTATGAGTTTGAGGATAGTTGGGGCTACATAGTGAGTTCAAGGCCAACCTGGACTACAGAGCAAGAGTGTGTCTCAGAAAAGAAAATAAAACAAAAAAAGGTTGGACAAATCTCTTTTATCCTCTTCCATGCCATCCTGCATGCTGCCATCAGAGTGATATTTTCCTTCCTTTCTTTTTTTATTTATTTATTCTTTTTGATACCAGGGATTGAACTCACGACCTTGCGCTTGCTGGGCAGGCACTGTGCCGATGAGCTAAATCCCCAGCCCCATCTTCCTTTCTTTTTGATTTTTTTTTTTTTTTTTGTCTTTTTGAGACAGGGTCTCACTATGCAGTTCAGGCTGGCCTTGAACTCACTTTATAGCTCAGGCTGGCCTAGAATTCGCAACAATCCTCCTGTCTCAGCCTCCTGAGTGCTGCGGTACAGGTGTGCGCCACCACACCCTGCATATTCCTTTCTTTTTGAAACAGGACCTCACTATGTACCCAAAGCTGACCTTGAACTTGCAGTCCTCCTGCCTCAGCCTCCCGAGTGCTGCAATAACAGGCATGTACCACTATGCCTGGCAAATGTGATATACCTAAATGTAAATATAACCATATCTGCCAGAATTGTTTAATGCCCCATCCATTGTCTGTAGCACTGCTGCCCAACAATACCTTCTGCAGATGAATAGCCAGGCGTAGCGGCATACCTGTAATCCCTGCACTCTGGGAGGATGAGGCCAGGAGGATTGCAACTGAGCAATGCAGTGAGACCCTGCTCCAAAATAAAAAGGGCTGAAGATGTGGCTCGGTTCAATCCCCAGAATCAAATAAATTAATAAATAAAAATTAAAAAATAATTTTCTGTAGATATATAAATGTTCTCTTTTTTTGGTACCAGTAATCAAACTCAGGACCTTG